TTGGGGTTCAGCATAGTCTGGAGCTTTTATCTCCTTCCCACTAAGGAACAGCAGCCAGGCACTCAGCTGCCCCTCCTCTCAGGCTCTGCCCTCTCCCCATGCCTGCACTGTGTCTCCGTACCTTAGGCTTTTACAGCTCCTCTGATTTTCCTTCTGCTTTTCTCTTTCCTTCCAGTTGTAGAATTTCCAGTCAGTCAACTTTCCTGTAGTTCTGAATAATGTCCACTTTATATTTTAGTTGTATTTTTGAAATTGTTGTGTGAGTCTGCAGTTAGGCGGTTACCTATGCCACGATCTTGGTTTCTTCTCCTCTGGCTCTTTGTGTTCCAAATCTTTGACTTGATTCTTGTGATCTTCCATTCTGTTTTTAGGACTCTGTATAATATTTTTTATTTCAGACAATGTATTCTTTATTTCTAGTTGATCCCTTTTCATATCCTCATAGGTCTCATTTATTTTATCGGCCTTTTCTAGGAAATTCTTGAAAAACCTTGTAAGTGTGGTTTTGAACTCTATATCCAGTCGATCCTTGTCCTCCATTTCTTTTGTTTGTGATCTGTTTCCTTGTCTTGGCATTTTCACAGCTTCCCTGAGTTGGTAGGGTGGCTTTGTGTGCTAAGGTGTCCTATATGATTCAGTGAGTCAGCCTCCCAGTTACCTGAGGTGGACAGTCTTTGTGTAGCCTTCTGTGAGCTGTGTGTGCAGTCTTGTTGTTAAACCTTGCTTGTTGTTGGTATCACTGGGAAGCGTTGAGCTCCAAGCCGATTGGCTATGAGGATCAGAAGTGTCTCAGCTAGGAGGGTATTTCTTGGATGGGCGGAGTCTCGGGATGGTACAGCCAAGCTTTGGTGAATCCAGCAAGATTGGTTGCAGGTGCCTGCACCTCTTTGGTATAGGCACAGACAAGCTTGGATTCCTATCTGTCCCTCCCTAGGAGAATCCTATTCGTGGCGAATGAGAAAGCTAGTCAGTGGAAGGGCTTCTGTGCTCCACTTGGATGGGGTGGAGTCTCGGGGTGGTGCGACAAACTTTGGCCAGCCCCTCTCTACGAGGGTCTGGTTTCTGTGTCCCACAGTAATGGCTGCTGGCTTCACACACCTTCGAGAGATGTCTGCCCACTGCCTGACAGTCTGGCCTCTCCCTGTCTGGGACTGTCTATCAGAGAAATAGCGTGGTTCTGTTTCCTCCCGAATAAGAAAGCTAGCTGCTCATTAGCTGTCCACCCTCTCCGCATGCAGGGAGTAAGACACTAGCAAACTCAGCCTGCCCTCTCTGTGCTCTGCAAGCAAGCCAGCAACAAATTCTGGCAGCCACCTTTTCGTGCGCGCAGTTCACTGCACCTTCACAGTTTCTAAGGTTCAGCATGCCTTCTCTCTTCTTCCCATATGGTAGAGCCTTCTCTCAGCCAGCTGTCCAGTGCTTCAGGGCGATATTTCCCCTATTTTCCAGTTCTAAATTCAAATTTGTTATGGTAGGCTGCATTCAGGTGTCTATCTTATGCTGCCATCTTGGTTTCTCCTGCAGTTTGTATTTCTTCTTGGAGGAAATGTCTATTCAAGTCCTTTTCCCATTTGATTTTTTAATTGGGTTGTTTGTCTAATAATTGCTGAATTACATCAAGATTTTCTTTTTATATACATGAATGTTTTTACAACTGTCAAATGTTTGCAAGCCCAAGGGTATCTTTTATCTCTCCTTGTTTCATCTTCTTTTATATGAAGATCGTGCCAACTGGAATAATTTTCTTCTATATTGGAACAAACTGAGCCTTGGTTCCTTTCAACCCACAATTTCATGAACCAGTTAAGACCAGATTAATGGGCTTAGTCAGGGAGTTTGACTTTCTAGCTTATCTTCTTAGGGTTGGCACTCCCGAGTCTCCAGAACTATTCATGATATATTTTCTTAGATGCTGCCTTCTAGGTCTATAACTGGGAAACAAATTCATGTACTAAATTTATGAATGATAAATCCTGACAGTATTCATTTATTTCTCCCCCAAATGAGCTGACTCTCCAACATAGCTTATAACATTCCCAAACTATACAGAAAACAATTTCCCAACTATCATTTCATAACATTTGAGCTGTGGCTTCACTGCTAGGGAAAAAAGATCTTCAATCTTTTCTAAATCAGTATAAATGGTGAGATTGAATGCAAAGCATAAAACCTACTTAGTATTATCTCATCCACCAAGGTACCTTTCTAAAATGACCCATATACTTGTATAGATACGTTGTAGTATTTTTACCAAACAATAGTCCTTGTTTCTCATAGCTAGCTATGCCTTCTCCATATGCAAGAAGCATGAAGAACTATAATTATAACCTCAAAGGGTGAAGCAAACTGCTTATGCCCTTTTTACAGTGGGAGGTTCCAGAGATATGTGAGAACAAATGCTCCTTAAGAAAAGAACTTCAGCCCTAGCTGGTTTGACTCAGTGGATAGTTCGGCCTGGGGACTAAAGTGTCCCTGTTTCGATTCTCAATCACGGTACATGCTTAGTATTTTGGGCTCCATCTCTGGTAAGGGGCATGCAGGAGGCAGCCAATTAGTAAGTCTCTCTCATCATTGGTGTTTCTATCTCTCTCTTCCTTCCTCTCTGAAATCAGTAAAAATATATTTTTAAAAAAGAAAACTTTAAATAATAAACCAATTTATTAATTGGAGGTTTATTCCTCTCTGAAGTAAAGGGAGACAACCAGTCGATTTGTCTCTCTCACCTCAAAATTTCTCTCTGTGTGTCTCTCCCTTACTTTCACTCTCTCTAAAATCAATGGAAAAATACCCTCGAATGAAGATTAACAACATAAAAAAAAGAAGAAATCTTTGTCCAATGAGAGAAGAGTCTACCCTCTTCCCCAGAACAGTTTCTTGATTTTTCACACACAGATTTGGTTTATCACATTTTAAAAATAATAGTGTATGTTGTATTGGGCTCCCCACCCCCACCTTAAGCTAGACAATGTTCAGGACACTCACCATGGTGGAGTTCTGTCCCCATTGCCGTGGGGTGCCAGGGCCTCCTTACTCTGCTGTGACTCACTTCTGTTCCTGTCGGTGGTTGTGCTGGATGAGGTTCCCATAGATGGCCTTGAGCCTGTGTCTCTGTGCACGTGGACCTGTCTGTCAGGAGTGTTGTCTGAGAGCATCCAGTGTCCACCTTCTGTATGGCAGGCAAGCCGTCTGCAGGTCTGTGATCCTGTCACAGAGCCTAGAACCAGAGACTATGCCATCGCTCTGAGCTGCAGGCTCCTTTCCCACATCATCTGTTTATTCAGGGCTGGTCAGCCCCCTCCTCTGAACATGAAAAACCTGTCTATTTTTAGGCAGAGGAGCATCCTGAGCCCTCTGCCCACAGCCATACTCAGTGGACCAAGTAAATGTGCTCAGGGCTGATGCATGGCCCAAACCCTATAAGGGCCTCTGTGCCCAACTGCTCTCTGCTCCTCCACACCGTCATCCATTCACAGGAGGCCTGAGCACTCAGGAGTTCGACTCCATGAAGGTCCTCTTTTTTCTTGCTGTTCTCCACTGCCTGGTCCTGATGAACTCAGGTAACCCTGTCGGGCCAGGGAGGAGGCTGGGGGAGGCTGAGAAGGCTGGGGAGGCTGTAGGAACTCACAGACATGTCCCCACCGGTCCCCTCTGCCCCCATCCCCCGGGGCTCAGCTCTGGGACGTTTTCATCTTCCCTGTTAAGAGTGTTTTAAAGACAAATGTGAAATCAGGGTCCTTGCCAAAGGCACAGGGCACTCTGCTCTGGGACAGCCAGGAAGCGGGCACTGAAGGTGAGGCCTTGGCCAGGGCAGGTTTTCCTGGCAGAGCTGGGAGGGACAGGGACACCCAGGGATAGTTCCTCACTCTCCGGGGAGAGAAAACCTTCTGACTCATGTTCTGCTGTGCGATGGACAATTACTGGCCTGGTAGTCAGTCACATAGGGCCCATTTGACAGATGGGAAAATGGAGGCAGGGACAGTGAAATGAAAGGTCCATGGAGAAATAGTTTGTTATTGCAACAGCAAGAGTAGAATCCATTCTCCAGGTCACTAGGCTCTGGACCCTCCACCTTTGTTAGACATGGGCTGTCTGCTCACTTCACTGTCCTCCCCAAACCTAACCCCAGCAGTGCCTCCTGGTAGCTGAGTCACAGGAAAGGTTTCTAATCATAAAAGACCTACACTACGGGGCTGGGGTGGAGTTGGGAGGTAGGGGGAGGCAGGGTCTTTAGTTTAGGTGTGTGTGTTTTTAGTCATGACAGGTAGCATTTGCAGGCCTGACATAAGACCTTTTATTTTTAATTTTCTCATTCCAAATGGCAAATGGTTTTTATTATTCTTGAGGTATAATTGACCTATAACATTATATTGGTTTCAGGTGTACATGCAACAGTTTATTATTTGTGTATATTGTGAAATGCAACTGTTTACTATTTGTGTATATTGTGAAATGTTAACCACACATGTCTCATTAACATCCATTGCTTCACATAACTACATTTTTTTTCTTGTGACAAATATGAAATGTTTCCTAATGGGGACATAAGGAGCTTGTGCCTGACCTACACACACACAAGTTAGGGTGAGGAGAGAGGCTTTATTTTCTGTCTTTCATTGTAGGATATAAAACTGAAAATCGGGCCACAAATTGAGGGTCAGAACTATTTCCAAGTTTCCTGGTGACCAAGACCCACCCTCCATTCTTCCACTCTGGTCACCCCAATTCCCTTTTCCTCCCTAAAGGGTGAGCACACATCGTCCCAGGGAGGTTGGAATCAGTCAGACCCTAATGACCTGGAATAAAATGGACAAGTCCAGGCAACACTTTGAGGTGTCACTTATTGTTCCTCTTTTAAAGCTGGGAAACCAGAGCTCAGGCAGCCTTGTCCCGAGAAAGTCAACGCTGTGAGAACACAGTCACCACCTGGAGTTGGGCTGCGGGCTGAGCTCCACCTTCATTCTCTCTGTGTGGAGGAAATAACTCTCCTATCATATCCACAGGTGACATCCCCCCTGGAATTCGGAATATTATCTGCATGATGCAACACGGAACCTGCAGACTCTTTTTCTGCCATGGCGGTGAGAGGAAGGGAGAGATTTGCTCCGACCCTTGGAACAGGTGCTGCATATCCACTACAGAGGAAGAGAGGAACAATAAACTGGAGAAAAGTGACAAAGCTGACATGGAAACTTCCAGAAAGTGGCCAAAACCTTCAAGTCTCCCAAGGGCTTAGAAGAACTCGTGGCTTACATAGGTATTCAATAAACCTTTGCTGAATGAGTTCAGCACCCAGGGTGGAGGTCTGATGAAAGAATTGTCCTAAAAGTTTTCTTACTTTGTCTTTGTCAGTGTTTTTTCAGAGAATCTCATAATTTGGGCCCTGACCGGTGTGGTTCAGTGGATAAAGTGTCAGCCTATGGCCTGAAAGGTCTCAGGTGTGATTCCGATCCAGGACATGCACCTCAGTTGCAGGCTCCTCCCTGGCCCTGGATGGGGGCTTGCAGGAGGCAACTAATGGATTTGTGTCTCTTACATGAGTGTTTCTCTGTGTCTCTCCCTCTCCCTTCTATCCTCAGGAAACTATGCCCTTCCATTGGCTCCTCCAGCAAGAACCCCAGGATATCTCAGGTTCCTAGGACTATATTGACCTCACATATTTACTCTTAGTACCCTCCTTATACTCTGGTTTCTCTTCAGATCGCATAAATCTTTCACCTTTTACTCTTAGTAACCTCCCTTGGTTAACCCAACAATTTATTGTAGCAGGGAAGTCAGGAGGCTAAACACACTGCTTAGGTTAGCCATTCCTAAGTGGGATTCTCAGCATACCTGTTGGCCAAGGGCTTGTTCTAGTTGCCCCTTAGGAACATACTTCTGGGCAATTAAAGCAAGGTGGGGCACCAACTCATCGGATACCTGGAGCTTTCTTTCTTTTCTTTTTTAAATAATCTTTTTATTACACTGATGGGGTGGCAGTGGTTAATAGGATCAAATATGTTTCAGGTGTGGGTTTCAGTGTTACAGGATCTGTATATTGCATGTGTTTTCACCACCCGAAGTCCAATCTTCTCCCATCACCATATATTGGGCCTCGTTCATCCCCACACCCTTCCCTCTGGCAGCCACCACCACATTGCTGTTTGTGTCCACAAGTTTGCTTTGTATCCCACATGAGTGAAATCATGTGGCTCTTCTCCCACACGTATACTGCTTTGAGCGTTCCACCCTCCCTTAGCTTTCCTCTGGATCCCTCTCGAGCATGCCCTTCATAGCTTACCTCTGTTAATGAAGGGGGAAAAACATTGAAACCTGTGAAGAATTTTTGTGAGTTTATTTGAGCCTAACTGTTAACATATGCTGCGAAGCAGAACTTCAACGATTGAGATAATGCTCCAGAGAATGCTGGGTTACATCTATATTTATACATTGCAATAAAAGAAAAGGGACATAGGTGAGTTACATGGAATTCATTGGTGATAAATTAGGGAGGTGGGACAGAGCGAAGTGGGGAAATCTCCGGGATAGGGTAAAAGGTGAAATGATGGACCTGATCTTCTCTTACAGAGATGGATACAGGATACTTTAACGTAATTAACAGTTGACAATTATCTTGATAACAATAACAATGAGGGAATGTCTCGAGGCCATTTGTTGTGTCCTGAGGGGTCCAGGGTAAAAAGGAAGTTATAAGTTACCCAGGCATCTCACAGATATGTTATCTTAGAGGCTAAAAGGCAAATGGGCTCAGTAAAGAAGATCTAAGTTGATCTTTATCAGGTGAAATACCGGTCTAGGACGTGACTACCCACTATAACCTGTTTGTAGTTAGATATTTAATTTTCAAACCATCTTTTGGTTATTTTAGGTCTCTGACTTTGCAAGACTGCCACACAGGCCTCCCCTGAGCTTGTCAGGTTAGCATGTGGCTCTTTTCTTTCTTTCTTTCTTTTCTTTTTTCTTTTTTTTTTTTAATATATTTTATTGATTTTGTACAGAGAGGAAGGGAGAGAGATAGAGAGCTAGAAACATCAATGAGAGAGAGTCATCGATCAGCTGCCTCTTGCACACCCCCTACTGGGGATATGCCCGCAACCAAGGTACATGCCCTTCACCGGAATCGAACCCGGGACCCTTCAGTCCCCAAGCCGACGCTCTATCCATTGAGCCAAACCGGTTTCGGCAGCATGTGGCTCTTTTCATTCACACCTCTGAGCAAGTCAATCCAAGGGTAGTGCATAGTGACTGGGAAGACATATAAAAAGAGAATAAAATCAAACGTGCTGATAGATGAAATAGAGAGGGTCGGAGACCAGGATGCCAGGACACAGGCTTTATTGAAGAGAAGAGTACCACTGCCGGCTGCTTCCAGAGAGAGAGCAAAAGAAACCGAGGGTGAGGGTACAAGCATCTTTAAGGGGAGGAAAGACAGGGGACTGGGCTTAGGGCACTCAGCACACGCTGATTGGTGGTTTCATGTAAGGCCTATGATTAGGGACCTAGGGACTTAGGAATCAGGGCTTAGGGTATTTGGCAGTTGCTGATTGGTGGTTCAGTGCTCAGGAATGTCTGGCTATAGGTGGGGTTTATGTCTGTCCATCAACTGGAGGAAGGGAGGATCTAACAGTAGGCAGAAGGGTGAGCCAAATGGGCTGTTTATAGGTAATACATGCTGGGGATTTGCAATGGCCTGTGGATATGCAAAGAGTGGGGGTCTTCAAAGGCTAGTGATATGCAAAGGGCTAGGGTCTTCAATGGGCTGGCAGCTCTGGTATCTGGAACAGGTTAATATTTCCATGATAATAGGCAGCTCCCTGATGGGGAGGATGGGCTGCACTTCTAGGTGAGCTCCCAGGTCCATCCCAGTCAGGTTAGAATGTACCTTCTTTAATCAGAACAACACAATCACAGTTAACAGAGCAGGCTTACTATTTCTTACAATTAGCTGGTCCCCAATATTCTATTCTTGCCCTATCAGGTGGGCACACACAGGCTCTGCCCAGAGCACTACCACTCCACACCCCACCTCCCTGAGTACAACCTAACAAAATCTGGGGCTGGGGGGAGGGTGGTGAGGGGTACAGTCAGGCCTCGCTGCTGGGAAGTGGTTCAAGGTCCCTGTGTTCTGCCGAGAAGGTGCCATTGGCAGCCAGCCCCTTCTTTGGCCTCATTTTCCTCCAAAACAAAACGAGGCAGCTGGACCCTCACAGCTCCCAGGCTGTAGAGCAGGCTCGGCACTACAGCAGCGGTCCTGGGGATGGGGCTCCATCAGGGAGGTGAGGAGAGGCTCTTCTGTCCTTGGAGGGTCAGGTGACAGCCTGCTGGGCACCAGGAAGAGCCCAAAACCCACTGGCAGGATATTTGCACGAGGCCTCCTCTGCACCATTTACATTTCCTGATGGAAACAGGAACAATTTCTCCTGAAAAGTGGGCCTGGTGGGGCCTTTGGTGATAGCTTCAGGCTCTCTGGCAGGAGTGCTGGTATACCCTGTCAGATGTAGCAAGGAAGCGATGCCCCAGAGCTGCCTGGCACCAGAGCACTGACTGGGGCTTTGGGAGGCAAAGGTGCCAGGCAGGGAAGGAAGGCCTGTGCCAGGTGTCTTCAGAGGCTACACCGGAGTCAATTCGACCCTTTACTTCATCCTGGATTCCAGTGTTTGCACTGCCTCTCTGAAATATGGAATAAATCCCTTCATCTCCACAGCATCCTTCCCCCCTTTTTTAAAGTATTGAGTTGAATGTGGTCCTAAGAAGCTCTGGAGTGGCTCTAAGAGAACAAGACGCCCAAATACTGACCATTTTTCAAAGCAAGAAACTATCTTGGCCACATGCAGCCTGTTGATTCCTATAACAGCCAACAGAGGGCCCACTATAAAGTCTAACCACTATTCTATACATCTGAAACTAATATAACATTATATGTCAAATGTAATTTAAAAAAAAAAATTAGGCAGCCCATATGGCTCACTGGTTGAGCATTGACTTATGGACCAGGAGGTTAGGGGTCGATTCCCAGTCAGGGCACATGCTCAGATTGAGGGCTCCATCCCCAGTGGGGTTGTGCAGGAGGCAGCTAGTTGATGATTTTCTCTCATCATTGATGTTTCTATCTCTCTCCTTTCCTCTCTGAAATCAATTAAATATATTTAAAAAATTAAAAATGAAGAGAGAAGCAGCTGGGAATCAAAGTCGGGTTGAGCCTGAGGGAGCATGACTTCCCAGCATGCCTAGCCTGCCTTTCTTGGCAGGAGTTAACTGGAATGCCTCATTGGTCTCTTCCTAGCTCTGAGTTCCATTGCAGATGTGTGGACTGCATGGGTCAGGCTACCATTAAAGCATCGCTGTTCACCTCTTCCTATCTGGGAAAGGGGCCAGGCCAGTGAAACACAGTGGACAGTGAGGGCCAAGCCTGCCCTTGCCCCTTGTGGAGTTGAGATGCCCCAAGGCCCAGCACTGAGCACCCTCAGGTGTGGGGAGGAAGCTCAAAGCAGCAAAAATCACTGGCTCAGAGGAGGACCCATGGGTGCTGCCTAGGTCTGCCACTCACTGTGCCCCATGGCACTTCCCCCAAGGTTTCTACAGGGACTAGAACAGGATCGCCAGCAAGCAAATGAGTAGAAAACAAGAGCTGTGTTCCCTGCATCCCAACCTGGGACCCTGGTTCCGCTCCCCATGGGGACCCACCTGCCTGTCCTTGCTATGAGACACTGCCCTGTGTGGGGTGTCGGGTTGGTGCTAGACCAGTGGGGGTATCACTGTACATTCTATCCCCTGCAGCTCTCGGTGGGAGGAGGTGTGGGCAGACCAGGGACTTTGCCTCTGATCCTGGTGGGAGTGGCCCAGGGTCATGCACCCTCTCTAGCATTGTGGGAATGGTCTGGGGCCCAGGGAGCCAGCAGGGGTGGGGGCAGGGACCGGGCTGTGTCCAGCAGGGTCCAGTGGTGAATGCTGGGTAGGTCTGCATTCTCCCCAGAGTGGCTCATCCAGAGGCAAATATAATTATCTCCACTGTCCCTCCAGGAACTTCCTCTTCTGAGCTGACTCAGGGAGCAACTAGGAATGAGTGACAAGCCTTCCCTCCTGACACCCCAAGGGGCTCGGACACCTCTTCACTCAGAATCCTCACCCACTTCCTTCACAACTAGAGCCTGTCTCATATGCAACCCTTTTTCTTGAACATTTAACTCTGTGTCTACTGCATGGCTGTGGAGGGTAAGAGGAAGGAAAGAGGAAGGG